GGAGGTCAACAAGTTGTTGACCACGGAGAAATGTTCGGCTTCGCTACCCAGAGCCGAAGTGTCTGATGAGTGAATCAGCCGATCTCGATTGGGAACATTAAAATCTCCTAGGATGGTGATATGACAGTTGGGATCCGTGCTCAGTGTTTGAAGATAAGAAATCAAAGATAGTTGGATCGCTACTGTTGGGTGGACGGTAAACAACACAAAAGTAGTGATTATAATAAGGAAGTCAGAGTTTCAACCGCATCAACTGAAATTCACGATTAGGAAAGTCAAGATTCTGGATTCTGGGTGTAGCGACTGACTGGTGGACAGAGGCACAGACGCCACCTTTGGGTGAGAAAGAGGAGTGAAAGGTATAGTTGGGAAATCGGAGGTGGGTGGTGTCTGATGGGGCGGGGGAAATTTGGGTTTAGGCCAAGAATAGGGCAAGAGAAGAGGAAGATTGGAGAAATTGGTGCACGAAATCGATATTATGGTTCATTCCGCGAATGTTAGTGAGGGTGATGAGCTCGTGCTTGTTTTTCGAGTGAGCAGAGTGAGCAAAACAGCGAGTGCGTGTGTCGTTGTGTATTTTCATAATCTGTAGTGTGAAGGAAACCGGCAACCATGATCTTGAGACTTGAAGTGGTAACCACATTAGGCCCCAGTAGGTCAGGCGTGGTAGTGAGCCGGGCGACAGCAGAGCCGTCATCCGAAGGGTGTATGAACTGAGCAACCAGTCACCGGCTCCCAGAGGTTCCCGGAAGAGGCGAACGGACCGTACAATTGGTCACCGGCTCATCTGGACCAACACTGCTGCCTTGCAGGACGTGCTTGGTTGCGCAAAGGCTAGACATGCGTCCTCGAATAAAAATGCCTACTCTGGGTCGGGTGATTAAGTGGTACAGTAGTCCACAACGTCAACAACAATGAAGCCGGTGGAACTCCTGTTACACACTCGTTACTGTCGTCAAAAACATAGCGTTCTCACACTGTACGCGTTGATTTCTCTACTTCCACATTTCACTCTCACATACACACATTTTCGTATTCTTCGGGAACTGCAGTTGGCCCTACTTGCGGTAGTGTCTCTGAGGAATATCCTGTTCCTATTCTCTCGCGTCCTCCGTCTAATATCCAAGTCTCACTGAATCTGTTTCCACCAGCTGATGCTCTTCTTTGTCCCAGGAATCGTTTTAAACTGGCCACATTTAATGGGCGAACGCTGATGCGTATAGGACAACAGGCTTGTTAAGCTCGTACGCTGGAGACCCTTGCCATCGACATGTGTTGTATCCAAGGGACTCGTATCCGATTGGTGCCCCCCATCCAGTTCTGTAAAGTTTCACTTGCGTTTGTCTGAGGACCCCGAGGCTGCGGCTGCTGGTCTTTCTGACGTAGGCTGGGCTGTCAGTGAGAGGACTGAGGCTGCACTACTTGACTGGATCCCAGTTGACAGTCGGTTGTGCGCAGTGAGACTTGGAGGTTCGTGCAAAGTAAGCAAACGTCGTTCCGATAGACGCAATCTGTTTGTCGTCTCGGCTTGTGCCCCTATAGATCGCAGCCCAGATGCAATCAAAGATGTCTGCTGACAAAAGTTACACGACCTCCCACGTAAAACAAAACGGGGTGATATCGTGATTTTAGCTGAAAACATGAAAGCTAGAGTCGGCTGGCTGTCTTCGAACGAGGCACATTTGGAAGGCCCTTTTTGGCCTTGATTCCTGTCGTTCAGAAAACGGGGAACGGTTGTTAGCTCTGTGTTCAAATCACCGCCTGTTCCTCGCCAGTACGAACTTAGGACGCTGGTATGCCACGTGGCGTCCGCCCTCTTTGAGTCAGCAATGGACCCAGATAGACCACGTCGCAATTTACAAATGGCGGGGTCGCATACAAAACTGCCGATCGTACTGGAGCACTCCCCTTCACTCTGACCGCACGTTAGTTTGCATTAAGCTGTCCATGTGCTTCGGTTAGTGTGCCAAACGTACGATGCAGCAGCGGTTAGACCGCTGACTGATGCTGTCCGATCCGTCTTGCCTCTTAACTTTCCAAAACGTTCTAGTTGAAAAGCTAGAATCAACTCCACCAGATAACACCAACCAACACTGGTCGCTTATTAAGTATGCTTTGTACTCTGCTGGCGAGGTGAGTTTTGGCCTGACTGGTCGTGTCGTTACACCGTGGATTTCTGCTGAGTTTCTACGCCTTCTTGATGTACGCCAGTCCATCCCGGCTGGTAGTGAGCATAATGCAGCACGGCTCACAGCGAGACGTGAACTCAAAGCAAGTCTTCGTAGGAATCACGAAATCTGATGGTCTCAAAAAGCATCAGAGATGGAACATGCTGCCGCTGTGGGAAATTCCCGCCAGCTGTTTGATCTTATCCGAGTCACCCGAAGGAAGCTACTGGGTGTGAACGAAACAATCTCGAAGCTGATGGTTCGCCTATCCACAGTTTACAGCGACGTCTTGTATGCTGGGCGGAGCACTTTAAAGCGCAGTTTAGCTGACCTCCGGCGTCAGCCTCTCCCATAGCTGTTCCGGCACACGTCCCTTGATCCCTTTCGACAGATCCACTTTCTGCGTTGGAGCTCCGCAAGGAAAACCAAACCCTATGACGTCACAAAGCGCCGAACTCCGATGGCCTTTCCTTCGGTGCTATTTAAAAATGGTGGAATGGAGCTTATTAGAGAACTTCAAGCTTTGTTCTCCAGGGTCTGGCACTCTGAGAAAGTTCCCTTCGTGTGTGTGTGGGGGTGGGTGGGTGGGTGGGAATCGATCATTGTCCCCATGTTCAAGAAGAGCTCGCGCAGTGATTGCGCCAACCATAGGGGTATAAGCCTAATTCCGATGACGTCTAAGCTGCTAGCGTCTGTCATTCTTCGCAGGTTATACAACATGCGTGATGAGCAAACTCGCGAGGAACAGGCTGGGTTTCGTACCGGTCGTGTTTGCACCGATCGAATCTTCACTCTCCGGCAGCTGTTGAAGCACTGTTACGCCTTCCAAAGGCGAACAATCGTTGTGTTTCTAGACATTCGCGCGGCCTTTTACTCTGTCAATAGGTCTGCGTTGTGGCACTGTTTGTAAAGGAGCGGTGTACCTGAAAAGTATTTGTCGGTCCTCAAAGAGTTGTATCGTCATACCTCAAGTCTGGTTGGGGCTTATGACCAGTCTTCGTCCCCTTTTGTCGTCTCCAGTGGAGTACGACAAGGCTGCTGAATATCCCCTTTTCTTTTCAACTTTGCCATAGAAGGTGTCATACAGAACGCTTTGGTTTTCCAAACGATGGTGTCGAGCTCCTCCCACGGAACAGAGTTTTTGACTTGGAATACGCCGACGATACCGCCTTACTGAGCGACAGTGCACAGGCAATTCAACACATTGAATCGCTTGGCGATTGAGGTGTCCCGATATGGTATGTACTTTGCGCCTTCAAAGTGCAAAGCACTTGTTCAAGACTTGCAGAGGCCTTTGGCTGCACTCACCATTTGTGGTGATCGAGAGCTTGATCAAAGCTGGTGGTGGTGTCCGGGAGGTGATCACATCACGAATTGTGAGAGCCAGAGCAGCCTTCGCAAACCTGCGACACTGGTGGCATCGCTGTGACATCCGGCTTTCTCTCAAGGGAAGGGTGTGCAGTGTCACAGTTCTTAGTGTTCTTTACGGTTGCTAGTCCTTACTAGTTTGCGTTGGGGATGGTCGGTGGCTTTCTGTATTCGACCACCGGTGTCTCCGAATCATTGTTCGTGTCTGATGGGAACATTGGGTGAGCAATGACGAGGAGTGCCGTCGTGTGTTGCGTGCTGACAGTCGCCCCCTGACAGATAAACGCTCTACACCGCCTCCAACGACTGGGGCATGTTTTACATATGCCTATCCATCGTTTACGTTTTCGTGCTCTTTTTGCATGTGCTGGGCAAGGCTGGAAGAAACGGCGTGGCAGTCAGATAATGACATGGTGCGGGGGCGTGAAAAAGACAGCTTCGGCTCTGACTTTGTTTGGTGCTTCCCTCCTTCCCGGTTGGGGTCCAAGAGATGAGGATTGCCGTTGGTTATAGACGCTGAGAGATGTGGATCGGGACCGAATTCAGTGGCGCGAATGTTGTATGGCTTGTCTGTTGACTTCCCGCTCCCCATAAACAATTGATGAAAAAACTGAAAAAAAATTTTTCTTTTACTTTTTGTAATCTTCATGCTGACTCTTTATCCCCCACCCCTCGACTTTGTAATTTTTCACTGTTGTTGTTTCGTTGGCACTGTGCTTGTGCTCAAGCCGGCGTAGTATATTATATATATATATATATATATATATATATATATCGCCAACCAACCTGTCGGAAGATAGCCTACTTGATGCAAGTATGGGCAGATTAGTTTGCACTGCAACGATTGGCGACAGTGACCGTTTCTTCCTATATAAACAACGTGTTCTGTACTAACAAACTGAAATGATTCTTGGACAGAGTAGACTTCTCACTAGAGTCAGTGAGACAGTTCAGAACGCAATTCTTTAGCATAACAGATTTTGACAGAAGTTTAGTTGCTTTTTCTTGCCAAAGTCTTCAGCCCATCGGGACAACAGCGGGCTTGGTATTTTCGCTTGCCATTACTCGATCTTCGTAGTCGACGTCTATCCGTAATAGTCAAGACACTGACTTGTCACCTAAGTTTAATTAGTCAATATAAAACCGCTGAAACTAATTTCACCTGAGCTAGATTATAAGCAAGTATCCATTTTCAAGACTGTTATTCCCTGCTACTCCTAGCTATAATCACACTAGACTACTTTTTGTTAGTCGTCATCACTTGCAAATACTTATGGTGTATGCAAATTTCTTACGCTCTTTATCTTCCAGGACCCGATTAGTTTAATAAACTGTTGGCTAGAATCTCTCATGAGCCAAGGAAATGGAGTACATTTGTGCTTTCTGACTAGCTGGTCGGTGAAAGCCTCTCTCCAACTCACTTTTAGGTCATAAAAGCTACTAGCGATTGGTACATATCGAATCATGCTGGAATCATGGTCAAGGTTGGTGGATGCACCATTTGCGCGTGTCAATCACCAAGCAATTTTTCTCAACGGTTGTCTCTACGTCTTTGGAGGTTTCAATTCTCAGTTGAGGAACATCAACTATAATTCACATCAACTAGATGTCTTCAGATGGAATGTCCGTAAGTTTTAGCTACCTCTCTACAAATTTTCAGACCACAACAAATGGGAAGAACTTAAATATCCACTGCGTTTGAAGGCTTGGAGTTGCAACACAAAAACTTGGACATCGGATCCTTTGTCTTCAGTGAGTCTTTTTTGGCGACTCAATTGTAAATGGTTTACGCGGGATACCTTTTCCGGCTTACTAGCTATGTGGGCTGACGCTGATATAAGACCATTTAGCTAGCCGATCATACCTCCAAAATGAATCTCTTTCATTTGATAATCCAGTCGTTATACGTGGGTTTGAGACAAGACTCATTAAACTTCTCTGAAAGTTATAAAAGATGTACCCACATGATAATTCTTTGTTAACTTATGAGTTTCGGACGTCTAGCATCAAACTCCCATTTGAGCCTGCTGTTTTACTCTGTTTCGTCCTTTACTATTAGGTTGACTATTAAGTAGCGAGCGAACAGATGCAGAGCAAAAGACCGGAAGAGACTCACCTATATCAGGGAAGCGAAAAAACCGAGATGTGCAAGACCGGAGCAATTTTCGCTGCAGAATTCGGTCAATGTTCCGTCCCCTTTTGTCACTCTTCTCTAGTCTTTCGATAATCCGATTCTTCTTGATCTTCACGTTTTGGTGATTCTCGTGTTACTCCCTGAAATCCGCATCAAATCGCCTAAACATTCAGTTTACGTCCTTCTGACTAGACTTGGTTACACTAAACTAGAAGAGAGGTCGTTTTCAAGGCATTCGAGAATAAGGCGTTACGCAGCGTTTTCGATTGTGTGCACCAAACCCAACCTGTCTACTCACTGATTACTAGTGGGGTATCAAATTTTGGTAGTTTTTAAGCAGGGTAATGTTAGTGGCAAAATTCATTTCGTGTTGAGGTCCCTTGATGCCAGAGGTTATTGGTGATACTTCAAGTTGTAAAATGCGCTGTGAAATCATGAAAGAATTTCGAAAACTAGGTCGCTTTAATTGCCGGTGGGTAGATGTAATTGCATCAAATTCGGTGGCTGTACATCAAACTGGGAAACTATAATTCATGTAATATTTGAATTGTTTTACATGCAAAAAATTCCTGATGTGAGCCGGCGTAAGTTGTAAGATCTATATATATATATATATATATATATATATATATATATATATATATATATATATATATATATATATATATATATATATCACACTTGTCTGGTTTCACACTGTATGCCAAACAAAACATGGTACAATGGGGGCGGGAGGGGTAGATAGTCCGAGTCCATGGTTTGTTTGTGAGCGCGATACTGCCAGGTTGCACAATCCAAAGCAGGTGTTTTTTTTAGGGATCCACAACTGGAGTCTTTAGCTATCCAAAGCTTAACCCTCAAGGCAACGGGACGAAACGTAGGGTCGGTTCATTTGCCCTTCGGATGAAGCCAAACATCCTGGGTGCCCAGTGCATCTCTCCACAACAGATGCCGGTGAGCATACCGTTGTACGTCTCATACGTCACCCGTGGTTGGTTTGGAATCAGGGTCTAACCATCTCCTCTAGATTGACTATTAGTCAGCCAACCCGGTGGAGAGCGCCAGGCATTCGCATCCGTCCTCTCACTTTAGTGGGAACACCTGCCTCACGGGACGACAGTGTGTAGGACTTCCTCAGCAGAGGCTGTGTTAGACGCACGGTCATTTGGGAGCATTTCGAGAAGCGTTCAGGACGAGTAGCCATCTCGGAGCCTGAGACACCCACCTCCGACCATATTGAGGCATTTAGAGGCACGATCAGGATATAAAACAAGGTAATGCGTGCGTGAGAACATTTTTGTATTACGTGTGCGTAAGTGCAGTGGGAGGGATATATACTCCATATCCACGAACGACCACTGCACTATTGGAGATAACCGGCAACTAGACCTTGAGACGGAGTGGAGAACCATATAAGGTCCCAATAGGTCAGGTGTGGTAACGATCCGGAAGACAGTGGATTAGCGTCAACCACCAGATGAGAGTAAGCTTTCGGCTTTACGGCGGATGAATCGTTTTTTGATTCTCTGTATGATTGACGAGCACCCGTTCCTAGCCTGCATAAAACGGCGATGGGAGTCGAGAGTAGGTGGACTGCACCAGCTGCGGAATTTTAAACACTTCAAGTGTACAGCACGATCACATGCGTAATTGAAACACTCGGTAGATCAGGGTTTGGAAAAGTGTGGAATAAAGAGACTAATACTTTGAAGAAGCGGAAACGCCAGAGGCAAACCAGCAATCGTTCAAAAAATAGGAAGCCAGGAAGTCGCAGAAGTCGTTCCAGTTGACTGAACTACAGCGCCAAAATGTGTGTTCTGAGGTGGGCAGAGGATCACGTGAGCGAAGTTGATAAAGCAGGAAACAATACAGTGGTCCGCTGAACCAAGTGCGGGAAGAGTGAAGGTGCCTGGAAAGAGAGAAGGAACAGAAGTGAGAACAAGGTCAAGGGTATGGACACGGTCGCAAACTCGACTGGGGATTCGTGTGGAAAGGTCAACTAGTTGGAACAGGTTGTTAACTACGGCGAAATGTTCGGCTTCGTGCCTCAGAGCCAAAGTGTCAGATGAGTGGATCGACCAATCCCGATTGTGAACATTGAAGTGGTATTGCAGTTAAGATCTGTCCCAAACAAGTGGTCAGTGTTCGAAGGTAAGAAACCTAAGACGGACAAGTCGTTACTGTTGGATGAACGGTACACAACACAAAAGTAATGATTAAAAGAAGTAAGTCAGAGCTTCAATCACACCAACTGAAATTCACGATTGGAAAAACTAGTATTTTCTGATTTTCTTATCTGGATATGGCGACTGATTGGCAGACGAAGGCACAGGCACCGGCTTTGGGCGAAAGGAGTAAAAGGTGTATTTTAGAAATTGAAGGTGTGTGGTGTTTGAATGTGTTCAGTTATTGATGAGCGTGGTTACGGTAACTGTTATACTAGACAGCGTTGTTCGCAGACTTATCTAGTTAATAATACTTCAGCAGTCGTGCGAAACTGTTGCAGCGGTTCCTTCTTCGGGATCCAAAAACTCAATTTAGGACCATTTTGGAAACAGTTATGCAATGGGACGTGTCTCCCATCATCTAGGTGTTGCAGAATGACTCATGTTATGCTTCCGCAAAGAGCTGGAAACATTTATGCTACCTGGTTTTTATGGATGTCTTATCGAGCGTCTAGCCTGATGGGTACATCAACGGCAGTAATATATATATATATATATATATATATATATATATATATATATATATATATATATATATATTTATGCCAAGGGTCAAGCGCTATGAGTCAAGTTAGTTTAACTGTTAGACTCAATATCCTGACCGTTGGAAGCCTTCAAAGACGGTCACTATATGATTTTCAAATTCGTCACAACAATGGTCGTATCTAGTGGCAAAATGCCCTAACATTGGTGGTTATAGACTTTATTTTGGCTACATTCAAAATGCACGGTTTTTTACGTTCTACCGGTACTTTCGCGAATTTGGTGGGTCATCTGTACTGTAACTTACGGAAACGGGTCTGGCACCTAAGATGATCTGGTAATTTTGTTGGGACCACAATCCATAGCTATGCAACTATTATGACGTTGGTGTGCTTATAGTTTATTGATAAAGACCATTGGTCATTAGCTGTCATCGTTATTGGTGTTGCTCACGAATTTCGTGTTTTCACATGTTGTGACAGCAACACTAACTTGAGAAGTAGAGTAACGAAAGCTGTAGGATATCGTTCTCGTTATGCAACGTAGTTGGAGTGTAGTGTAATAATCAGTCTCTAGCGTACACCAAACCAATGTTAAAATAACCTGGGATCTCTTGGCAAACGAAAATGTACGGAGGAGTGTGGTCAGGTGGGTAGATAGGAAAAGTATGCGCAATAGAAATATAAATGGAACAAGTGGTATGAAACAAATTCACAAGTTGACTTTTTGACATTTATGCCATCAGTTCTGTTTTTAGAAGCTTGGCTCTGCCAAGCTTCATCACTTAATTTCCATAGATATGTTCACGTGGTGATTTGGGGTTCTTGGCTATGTCAGTGGGATTCCAGTTCATTGATTTGTGTTTCATTTCCTGAGTTGATCTAATTTCTTGTGATTCAGGTTATATGCTATTCAATCCAATGTTTCCCCTGATTGGATTTGCTGATGAGAGCCAGGATTACAAAAACTTACGAATACAAACGGGATATGTGGTATACGAGAGTGACTTACTTTTCATTACGTTGTTGTATTCTTTGTGTGGTCCTTCATACATGAAATAATATGCTACATTCCGTACTGATGTGGAGTTTTTATTCCTCGGCATTTCTCCGCGGGGTTCAGCCTGTTCAATCCATTTAATATCACAGGCTACAGTTCAGTTCGGACAGCCATTAACCATGCACTGGGTGCGGCGGATTTTGGTTGCTATTTCCTGGCGACAGCTTCAATCAGGAAAAATGAGAAAGGACAGGAATATTGAAGTAGCAGTAAACGAACTACAAATATTGATATCAGGTCCGTAAAGAATGTTTGTGTATACAAGAGCGCCAATGATCACGACACCTTATCATTTCCACTAACGTATATAATCCCTGAATGGAGGGGTCTCTTGGATCTAACACGTCCTACATGGCCAGGTCCACAGGTTAGGTTTTTTATACCTTTCTTCTATGTTATGGACTGGCCACCCTTACTCATCTTCCAACCGGTATCCGCCTCAGCGAACATAGCGTGCCGAGGAATCCCATCACGGGACATGCGCAGCACGTCCCAACCATCTTAGCTTGGTGACTTTTAGTGTTTCATCTAATTGGTTCGTGGACCTAAGGCTCTCCACCGAACCTCAACATTGCCTATACGGTGTTTCCGCCGGATCCGAGTAATGCTACGAAGACATCGGCGTTCAGATGCCGACAATCTTCGTATATCCTCCACCCTCGGGGACCATGTTTCTGAGCCATACTGAAGCACGGGCCTGACTTCTGCAGCGTACACTCGACACCTGGTAGATAGAAGGATGTCATGTCGTCAACACAGATGACTCAGATTGGCAAATGCCAAACGAGCCTTCCGTATACGCAAGGACAATTCATCCGATATCCGATCTCCGGGCGAAATGCAGTTACCCAGACAACAGAACTTAACTACCAAGTCTATAGTTTCTCCATATAAAGGAAGGTTTAGTGTTGGACCAACCCAGTCTTGTAACGGCATCTTGTCTTTGAAGGTGCAAAACGCAAGCGGTGGAAAATAATACCGGCAAACAGTTTAGATGCGATGCTAACAAGACTTATTCTCTTGTGGCTTTCACAGGAGGACCTGTCACTCTTGTAAATCTGTACGATCACCGATTCACACCAACTCTTTGGAACCTGTTCCCATCTGTTTGCCCTTTCAGCTTTTTAAATTAATTATCCTGTGGGAGCTGCGTTAGCATTAGTTAAGGGCTAAATCGTCCAATAATATTGGCGGTATTCGTGACTCAATTTGATGGTCCTCTCTGACCTGGTCTGATATTTTTGTGCGCTTATGCATGAAATGTTCCTATTTTGTTACTTCAAGCAGTTTGTTTGGCTGCCGAAACCTATAGAGAGAAGGGACCACCGATTCAAGTATAATGCCTGTGGTTTATGCTAGCATGAGTACAATATCCCCATAAAAAGGTGACAGGAAAGAAAGCCATATGATATTAAGACATTTCACCTAATTGCAGCCTCTACTTTCGTCAATCGCGTTTTACAGCCCGATGGATCGATCAATCCTACTTTGCGCTTTGGTCACACTGTTGTTGCTTGGCGTGGACGTGGTTGGCTTTTCGGTGGTCGCACCCAGCAACACGTTTGTCCGAATCAATTGTATCTTTTTGAACCTGGCTACTACTCACATTTGCCTGACCGTTTGATTCCTGGCAGCCCTCCACCTAGAACAACACGTACAAAAACATTGATTGATATTATACAACCATGTTGGGCCGAGGTTGTTGGTACAACAGGTGTATCTCCAAGTCCTCGTGATGGTCATGCTGCCGCGGTTTTAGAAAACGCTATGTTCATTTTTGGAGGTTTTCAAGATGTGGTAAGTAAACTATTCCCTACGTGTCAATCTATTCTGGTATGTTCTTTGGTTAGAGGAATCCCATTCGTATACTCTCATTGGTCGCGTACGTATAAAATCCAGAGGGAAAAAGAATTACGATATAAAACGACCGACCAGTGTGAACTGGAATGGCCGAACACATTCCAAAGTACATACATGACGCGATGACTTAGTCCAGGCCACAATAATCGAGTGCGTCACATCGATCGACCTCGGTCATCGCTCGCCACTTGGTCGAAAGTGGTTACACAGTGGGTCCAGCGAACGCGTTTCAGGTCTTGTTGCATCATCGCGACAAACACTGACTAAGGATACTGGAGGCATTATCGATCACATACCAAACCCACCGTGTGTCCAAAAGCGTATGACCTTCACCCTTAACCTAGCGTGGCTTCAGTTAATCACAAGCAGTCACATGCACGCACACACAGACACACACGGCTTCAAGTCTTATAAAACTGCTTTAATTGGTCATTTCGTTTCATTGCATTTATTTTTCCTGCTGGATGGTATACGTACGCGACCGATGAGTATACGGAGGGAATTTTTCTCGCAGTGTTTGTCTTCTGAATTGTTTATATATCATGCAGAAATTAAAATTTACACCAAGAGGGGTTGTTGCTTCGGACAGAATTACGCCTCTATCAATTAGGTACGAACTAGGTAGAGGATAACAGACCGTTCGTACTGTTCATATCACAAGCTTTGTTCTTCACTGCTTGCGTTTAAATCCCGCCTGATTCGTAGCATCTTCCAACCGAAGGGGAAATCTAAATGTATGAAGATAAAAAAGTACTGTGATCATCGGGTGGAAAAATCTAGAAATTGGGTGCAATTGAAATAGCAGGAGTCCAAGTCGTCAACTATGTCTGCAGGAAGTTTCCCGATAGAAAATACGGAAAAAAATGACTGATGCGTAGTTTAACTCGGCATCTGAAATATGACTGTCAGTTCCCAAACGGAGGCTGAACGCGACCTAGTCGTTCTTAAGCAGACCCTGATAGCAGAACAGGAACAACATGCGATCGGAGGGGTTTTGCACGAGAGAGGAAAGAACTGATCAAGGAGCACAGAACTGTCTTACTTCCGAGTCGTACTTTTCGCGTTTAGGGTCGAACGCGAACAACTCTACATCATATTACAAGTGTTTGACGTAATTGGTAAATTCAAATCTAGAAATTAGGGGATCAAAATGAAATATGCATTTGTCGCATTTTGTATGGTTGAAGTTAGTGACTGGGATGTCAGAGACGTTAGTCAAAAATCCGTAGTCACAGGCTAATGACTCAGCCTAATGCTTACTCAAGAAATACAAAAAGAATTGCGGACAACTAGATCATTGATGTATGTAAAGAAAAAATAATTTGCTGTCTACTTTAATGCGTCGAGTTCTGTCGGAGAAATAATCTTAATCACTCAACTGTCGCTTTCATTGTCTGACTTTCAGTTTGGGAGTTATGATAACTTCGTCTATCGATTTGATTTCATCACGTGGTCATGGACGCATATTCAAATTCACTCTGGACCATGCATTGGATTAAGTTTGTCTCCCCTGTCGACAAGCGTCTACGCACTCCCCCAGTCGACGGATTCAGTCTATCCAACTCCAATATCTCCACAACTCCAGTCTGTTGGAAATGACGAATCCGTGGCCGCATCGACGGTTCTTCAGTTTGACGTTCCATTGCCACGTGATTTTTCTTGTTTGATAAGTCATCAAGGTCGAATCTTCTTATTCGGTGGGCGCAGTGAATTAGCCGCTCGAAGTGGCTTCGATGTGTATGACTCAGCACTTTGGGAATTGGTCCCGTTAAAGGTGCATGAATCAACTCCGGATGGATCGGATCACAATTCCACCGATGCATATTGTTACACTCCAGTTTGGCCCGATGAATGTGAATACTGTTCCGCGGGCCATTTACATAATCTGGCAGCATTTGAAAATTTGCAACGCATGGCCTGGGAGGAAGAAACAGGCAATTGGGTCAGGTAATAATTGAGTTGTATCGCATTCATGTTATTGATGAGAAACCGTCCTGTAGATGCTGAGTATTCTGATGGTTATTTTCACCGATTTCCAACGTGTTCGGTGAAACTATGGTTTCGGGATTTTAAGTTATCTTGTAGCTTGCACCCACTTTCTGTTGATTTTTCAGGTCTTGTTTAGAGCCGTGAATGAATAACTAGTGTGACCCATAGATGGAATCTTGATCTGTGCGGATATGGCCTACTACTCTGTGAAGTCACCACATCAAAATTCACTTGCATGAATAAAAGTAGCAACTACTTCACGTTACACGTTACGCGCCCATTTCCACTTTGCTAATAATCCCGGATTAGAAACAATTAGGAGCAACTTTACTTGGTTCCCGAGTTGTGATCTGGCACGTCTCTTTGATTTACCTTGACAGTTTTTCTGTAATAATTGTTCCTCAAAGTATTATGGCGAGAAGCCAATAATGTTTGATGCAACCCTGCACTCGATTCAATCAGTCAAGAATTCTGGGCCACAGCTCCCCCGCGTCCTTGTTGTTTGTGGAAATTCTCCTCTAATCAACCGGGAGATTTGGTTCGAAGTAAATCCTCGGGCGACCAAAAGAATTGTGGTCACAATCTGTTTTTCGGGTGCCGTTCACGGTGGTCTTCTGGTAACGCAACCTGGATTCGACGACACCCGGGCCATGGGCTTCAATTGCCTGATCGTTTGCTCCTCCGTCTGTGTAATCTCGCGGAGAATTCCCATGTCAGTCAGACCGCAACTGCTACAGCCACCTCGCCTCATGGTCGTAGAAGTCTGTCTCACTGTGAGCATTTTAGTTTTGGTAAACTTGTTGTGCGTATGTTTCCATCTTCGCTGTGAATAGCATTGATTCCTTTGTCTGTGGTGATGTTGACTACCATGAGCTCACATCCATTGAAGTGGCTAGCATTTGCCGTGGAATATAATCATGTAGTTCTCAGATTTGCTTAGCTGTTATACTTGCCGGATTCCTTCCGACTGGTATATAAACTCTGGTCAGCGGCTGCAAATGGATGCGATCTGTTTTTTCCATGTTGCCTTACGAGTACACCTTGAGCAAAAGCTTTAGAGGGAGAGCCTCCCAAAAAATCCCTTCTTCAGTTTGGGTAACCGGACAGTTTCTAGTCCACAAACTACATAATTTCACACACGTTTCACATATGCTAACTCATTCTCATTCTCGCGTACCGAGTCTTTCTGTAATATGATCGAGTTGATGAAGGCTGGACAGACTCATTATCGCCGAAACGCACTAGGCAGTTCTGTAGACTCCGCGATTGATAATAATATTTTTGTGTTTCTCAGGCAACCGTTGGTGGGGACAGTGATCACAAAAGTGTAGTTCCGACAATGCATCTGGTTCAGCTAAATTGTTAAGCACGCGCAGGGCACCAATGTTTGCAACCTTCAACTTAGGTTTACTACTGCAAAAAGGTTAGGACGCAGCTCTAATGTGCACCCTCCAGACTTGAGCCATGGATATGCTGCTTTTTCAAGACTCGCCAATGATTCAGTCAGTGTACCTCGACTAAAATCACTATCTGGATATGCCCATGGATTGAGCTTATCGGAGATCCTGCGACCTCTATGTCGAGTCACGTGGGTGTGAGAATTGATCTGAGCGCCAGAACTGAGTCTGCTTTATGGTATTTGTTGTGTCCCCAGATCACACAACATCATCACACTGGAGTCTCGATCCAACGGGACTGGGTAACACAATTTGGGTTTGACAGGGCTGTGCCACGCAGAATACACAGGACACAAGACCCAGTGGCACACAACGCCGAAGACACAAAACACTTGCGTCCTCGCAGGGGTAAGGCACTTGATCACTGATGCGATGCATTAGTATTCGGTTAGGTCATTCTAAACCCGTAATCTCACAGTGGCATGATTCGCGAACTAACGTAAACTCGAGAAAACGTACAACTCGGCAAGGCTAGCCCGTCCATTAGCTAGAGAGAGAAGACGAACACCAACACGATCAAACGTTTGTTGCCGACCGGACGATACAAGACAAAAAATGGGCCCAACTCTGTCGCTTATATAGTGTTTGCTGGTGATATTGTAAAATGTGTATTTGGGACCAATCAAAAATAAGAAAAGTACAGTGGGAAGACGGTAACAGTACTGGGAGCGAAATGAGAAAATTTACAACGGTGGGGGGAAAATTTAAGTTTTGGCAAAGAGTAGTAATATCTGTTTACTCCATAGTTCAACGTTTTTGAATAGAAGTAATTTTCTTACTGAAATCTGTGACATCAAATTGTGGGGGAAATGGTGGTTTCCTCCAGTAGATTTCACTTAACAGCAGACTATCTATGATCCATTTGAAAAGTTCGCTTGGGATAAATAAAGCATGTGACAACAAGCGCGATCTGTTCGTTGTGGCTACCTGTGCTCACAATGACTGCGGTTCAGACGCAGTTGAAGATGCATTTTACCAACAACTTTTAAAATTTCTGCGAAAGGAACTGTCGTAATACTCACGTTGGTTTTCAAAATCCTGATAAGCCAATGCTCGAAAATCAAAGCGGTGCTAGTTCTCAGCGCACCGACAACGGTGACCGTCCGGTACAGAAAATCATTTTTTCCTTGAAGGGCGCCGGATAGTGGCATCGTCAGCTCTTTTGTAAAGAAATAGCTTATTTGAATTATACGCAACATTGGTTGTCAGTTGACCACAATTATTGGAAAATAGCGTGATGAGCAAGACCGACTTATTCACAAGGAAGAACAACTACGTATTCTAAAAAACATTCAGAGCGCGGAATCTCCAGTTCATCCAATTCATAAGTACAGAAGAAAGATATATGTCGAAAGGTGTGGACGTTTCGTTTATTCTTGTCGGTCGCGACCGTGAAACGTAAGTATTTCTGTGGTAGAGTAAGAAAAACTTCATCGAACCACACCAAAAGTCGAGAAGACAATTTCTGTCGGAAAGAAGAAAGTTTTCATCACTTTTCCATTTAAAGGGGACTATTTATCTAACCAAATGGAGCGTAATCTTACTTCGGCCCCTTAGAGACATACCTTTACAACAGCGCAGTTGCATCTGTTACAAACGGCCATTGTGTTAAGTTCCCAAAACTGCTCAAACGGTCTTACCGACCCCTATATCTCTCCGTGTATCCGTCAGTTCATTTGCAATTGCGATGGTGTATGATTTGAACCGATAGGTACTTAGCTCAACGAGTGTCAAAACGCACCCAAGTGATTGTTAAAATAATGACGCAATCCGCTGTGGCCACGTAGTGACATTTTATCTCCCCCTCGATTGCACCAGGTAACAAAGTTCATCTGACCCAATATTTTAGAACGATGTTGCACAATCCCGTATCGGAGGTATTTGCATTTAGCGAAGCAGTTTTGATCATACTGCAGCAGCCATCACTTCATGCACAGAAGCGTTTGATACAAAAAGTGTTTGTTTTTCTTGACGCTGACCCAACTGACCTTCCCCAATCAACACACTAAAATAGTCTTTAGTGCAGTCTGCCCCAGTGATATTTTTCTGTACAGTACTATGCTGTGCCATTTTGTATAAAATGTTTTACGTTTGCGATGGACAGTAGTAAAGTAAATGCTTGCATCTTGTGACTTACGTATTCTTTCTTTCCTAATGGATTAGATAAAGAAGACTCAGGACTTCAAAAATATACGGGATATAAGTCGTCAGAAGTGTCTCACTTTTGCCTTATCTGTCGAGTCAGATGGCTAAAGGTGTATATAGAATATACATATACATGTGTAGTATGTGTATTATACTCTACCGTATTAACGATAGGCTTATATAGATAGACACAGTCGTTCTGTGTATTTCATGCAATGGCTTGAGCGGTATTCTTTATGATCTTAATTTTTCTTCTCCGTAAACGTCTTCATCTCTAAATCGGCGATGAAGAAAACAGCGTCCAACTATTAATGTGTCAGAACCGAGATTGGTTCGGAGTGTATCGAAAAATCGATGCGCCATGTGAAATGTGGTAGAATTTTATTGTTTAATAACACAGCGTAGTCAAGATCGTTGGTAGGTTGTCGACGTTTCGGTCACCACAGGCATTCTTTTTCAAGACTGGTTCTACGACTGGTTGTAAAATTTTACCGCAGCATCCAACTTCTTAAATAAAGTGGCTTTGTCAGTATTCACTTCATTACTCATTTATCGATCCATGCGTCCCACACCCAGGGGCCTATGGGGGTTATCTGTACATATCGTTCGGTACTGTACGTTGCCAGACTGCCGAACAATGGCAGTTGCATTATCAAGACGTCTGGCGCTACAGTTTATCGGACAACTCATGGACAAAGGTCATCACGGAACAGTTGGCCACCAATTCCCTGATCCCCACACATTGGCCTTCGTCACGTCGACGTGCGGTCGCTAGTTTATACTTACCGTGCCCGTCGATTTCCGACACTTCCCAGGATTATGTGCCTTCAATTCGACCGTTGGTTTATGTGTTCGGCGGGACTCAACCACGAGTTTTGGACAAACGATGCACAATCTCCTACCACTCGACTCGTCGGACCGCCTTTATGACTGCTCCCGCCCGACCTTACACTTTGTTCACTTCCGGCATTCCCTCCGTTTCCAGTCCAGGTTTGTTGAATGATTCTCCGTCTCTTATTTTTAGGCTTTCGCGTTCGTACATGCCTTTTGCTTACTATCCTGTTGTTTTATACATTGTGGATTGACTTTATGCAATCATTCCCTTGGGAAAGTGTCACAATTTTGTCGCATAAAAGCTCTAGAAACGTACGACCCATTCCGTAGCACTGTGATCAGATGCGTACTTCGACTTGAATATTTTATTTGTTTTTAAACTGTTGTTGCTAGTCTGCCAGTTCTGGGTTACAGCAACCTCAAAGTTGACAGGCCAATATAGTTGAGCTGGTAGCACACTGGTTGACAATGAAATCGATGAATTGTTGAACCCACTTGATCGATAATGACTATTCGTGTAAAGTCAGTTACGACTGCTTTCACCACACATCATTGATGACATTTTTATTGAGCCGAATACCACATTATGGGTGTGCCGGCGAAATCCATTGTATACGAACAGCCGAAGGTGAGTTCATGCTTGCAACGATCTTTCGCCTAAGATAGTAGAGGGCAAATCCGGTGTTTGTAATCTAAAATAGCGTCACTCGAATAGATCCATCCGAGGTTGATATAAAACCAGAAGTGAGCCAAATTCTCGGTAAAATAGTGATTCTCTGAGGGCAAAATAATTATGTCAGTGATACGTGTCGTAAGAAACGAGATGAGTAACAAAAGCAAAATCTACATTCGAGGTGAATTACCAGCGGTCCTAATCGGGAAACATCCTCATTTGGATGTCGGAACAAAAGTGACCGAATTCAAGGTGGCCGACCGGTGAGAACCAAGATCATTTGAGTCGACGAATAAGATTAAGGGACGCAAATAGTTTTGCTACTGAAATAATGGTCGGTCTCAAAACAGAAAACGGAATAACACGAACGAAGTGTTACGATTATGAAGAATGGTGTGCGGAGTGGTGCGGGTTGCCCCTTATCACCCCTCATTTTCAGTTTCGTAACTGAATTGATTCTGAAGATAGCCCTGTTCTCGTGTGACAGTAGTGGCATCGACCTGCACTCAACTGTCTGATTTAAAATGTATGGGCAAAGTAGAGATCTAGGCAAGTTGCAAGTTTTTCATGAAAGGTCCATACAGAAAGAAGACGAATACAGCGTGATGTTAATAATTCATTTACTGTTCTTAGTTACCTGCAAAAAAATCTAAAATTTGCACAAATTGTGTTGGCAACCACAATGAACGGATATGATACATTGACTTTATACAAGAAATTACAATTATCTCCATGGTAGGCGGATAGACTGTCAATAGTTTCCCGACTCGAGGAACAAGGTTACTTAGTTTGATTAACATGGCTTCACTGAATGCTAATAGCCTAGATAGCAACAGTTTGGAAGACGAAATGGAGCTAATTTCGCATTTGATTGTCATCTAATGCTTCACTATGGATGACCCTGGATTTCGGTCAGGATTACCCCTGGATGTGTTTTGAGTCATCGATTTTATCAGTCTCTTCAGGATATGCTCTGAAACCCGTTGTAATAGTTATCGGTTTGTTCTCCCGATGTAAGTGTCACGGCAACTGCAAGCGAATTGATGCACAGTATGTGACAATGTTACTTTTTTGTTCACAACAACCACCCTCGGAAAACGTTTCTTTGTAGTGTTTCTGCTCGTTATTGCAATCTTTGTATTTATGAAACTTATACATAGAAAAATCATCCCTCATACATGGTATATCAAATCCTTACGTTCTGTTCCATTTTTGTTTAATTTTCCCCACTTCGGTCCACAATAGGAGAACCGGTTACTCAGAATCGTTTGCTAGGTCTCGGTGATGGCGATTCGATCTCTTTGCTGAACTTACCAATCATCAATTCAACATTGATGGCTCTCGGTACGACAATCATCACCTCACCAATGACTATTTTGCTTGTCAATTCACCACGTATGTTTCACATGGAACGGTCCACGCCGTTCTACCTGATTATGATCGTCCCGACTGGTTTATCCTCATCGTTTTTCTCTTGCGGAACCACGACACAGAGGTGTCAGCACCTGTCGACTTTGTCACATATGTGCGTTGTCAGTTTTGCCGAACTGGCTGCTTTGTTTCGCACACCTCTGACTGGTGTTCAGCCTCTGGACACCATGTGTTATGGGTCGTTGGACAAATTGTTGTACACAAATGAATCGGATCCGGTACAACTTTACACCGCGCTTCGTTTGGCCTGGTCCGCAGTGCTCACTTGTGGATATTCACACGACGAGGACGAGGCCGACAACGGCCATACAGCATCTGGGGAAAATGTGCACGGGGGTTCACGTCTACACATGCTGATCGTACAGCAGCAACAACAACTACTACAACAAAATCAAATAACAATAACAACGAACTGCACCGCTGACGAAGAAACTGCCGGTGATCATCCAGGTCTGAAGATCGGGTACGACTTGTTCTGTTATCTCTGTGTTACCTACGCATCGGTACGGCGACAGTGGTAAAATACATCCCCACTAAAGTTCATTGTGTAGTGTGTTGAATGATTCAACTTTGTTTTCCGTGGAAGTCTCTTACATTGCGAAAACCATTACAGTTCCACTCTGTATCGTTCCGTAAAACCTAACAGAACTACTGCAAGAATACTGGGTTAGTGTTTCACCAAACTATCCTATCAGTACCAGTTCCACACTGTGGCAATTAGATCAGTTCTGTTGTATGGCTCAGAATCGTGGCCGTCGCGGGTGAAGGGTTCATGTAATCTCGGTTTTTGAGCATTGATGTACTCGCTGCATTGCTGTAGTGGGCTCGGAATACCTTCTCTGAAATACGGAGGTAAGGTAAGAGTGTTGAGGACCGTAGCTCAGTTTCGCAGAGTCCTAATCTGACACATTTACGGTGGTTCAGTTCGGTTCACTCAACCATTAACGTCGCACTTTTTCCCCTTGGTTTTGATTGCTACCTCGCAGCATCGTCGAGTCAAGGGCGAAAAGAAGGGAATCAAGGTTTTCATACCTTTTTGCCATGTCATGAACTGACCACCACGATCTACCTTACAACCACTACCTGCCGTGGAGACCTATCGGTGGGCATGCGTACTACATTTCCGAACCACCTTAACCTGTTTAGATTCAGTACATGTTCCAATGTCTGACCACTGGTTCTATCCATTCTACGTCGAACCTCAGCATTGCTGAAACGGAGCTTCCACCATTCTCGATCAATGCCACAGAGACCGATGGACAAACACCGTCAGTCTTCGCCTGCCTTCTACTCTAAACAGATATGTTTCTTAACCCGTATAAGAGAACGAATCTAACCGCCACACTGTGCGCTCAACTCTCGACAGACGATCGGATGTCACGCCGGCGCCACAGATAACGGGGGTTGGCAAAAGCCAAACGCGCCTTCTGTATACGCGATGACACTCCATCTGACATCTGACCATCTGGCGAGATGTAATTAACTAGGTAATAAAACTTAAGCCGGAGCTGCCCCTGCCAAGAAGAGGTTTGGTATTGAGCCAACCCAGTCTTGCAGCAACATGTTACACTTTGAAGGTGCAAAACGCGTCCCAAACATTGCTACGCTGTTGTTTAGGCTATCTAAGGAAGCTCGCAACTTACCTGGATCTTCACTGAGAAGAGAAATATCGTCTGCATATTCCAATTCAAATTGTTTACTGCCTGAGCAAAGATCGATGCCACTATTCTCACACAAGGACAGGACTGTCTCAAGAGCCATTTCATTTACAAAATTGAAAAAGAGGGGTAAAATGGGGCAACCCTGACGAACACCGCTTTCCGGCGTGAACTCGGGTGAAAGATCGTCGTAAGCACGAACTCGGCTTCGGCTATTCGCGTAAAAGCATTGGAAAAGAGAAGTAAATTTCTCCGGCTCATCCTTCAAGAAGAGGCAGCGCTAGAGAACCGTATATGGAACTGGGTTGAATGCAGCTTTCAGATCAAGAAGTTTACGGGGGTAGAGATGTGTGTGTTACTTACGCCCATAAATAGATTCCCTCGGTGTTCATTGTTCTCTGAGATATGTAACGATTGGAGTCAGTGAGTACTTGATTTTGGGTAAGGTTTCAAAACCTTGACCTTTGGGCTAGGTCGTGTTATGCTTTTGAGTTAGGTTCCATGAGATCCGAATACTGGGCATAATTTTCACTGAAACCTTTTTTTCTTCCATTTACTAACTTATTTAACTTCCGATTGGATGGAAGCCAAAACCACAGCAGTTAATTGTAGTGGTTAGATGAACTAAATTAACCTGATATGAACCAGAGAGCAATGTAAAGAGTTTTTTCGGGAACTTACATTTGAGGTGGTATACCGAACCAAGATGAATACTCGAGTGATATCTACAGACTAATATACCTGTGTGCATGAATTTAAACCCCGTCTCACCCGCCTAATTATCGCACTTTACTTCAAGCTTGTGCAGGAGTGCGGCGAGAATGGCATACATAATAACCAGTAGGACTCAGTGCATTGCCTCGGAGGACTGGCCCCATGACTCCGAAACTTGTATTACAGAACGGCGGAAGACCCCGATGCAATATGAACTCTTTAACCTTTGATCTGTTAGCGCACACAAGACTGCAGACTGCTCCAAACACATGAATGTTAGTTTTCGTGGCGATCTAACACGCGTGACACAGCGTGGTAATGGAGGTATGCATGTTTGGTATACATTTTAAAAGGAAACACTGATAAGTTCGTGTGTGCAGTCATTCTTTTCTGTGACCAGCTGGTAGCAGTCAGTAGCTCCAAGTACTCAGGGAACTGCATCCCCACAGGTTAGGCTGGCAACGAGCCGGGAGAAAGTGAATTGCTCTCAACCACCAAGGTGATCGGTCATGGTATGGTTCGGAGATTGTACCTCAGTAATGACAGAACCGTAGCGATGACTCGATCACACTATATAATCGAGGCTTACACGGTCTACCACTTCGAACCTCAGGGTCGAGGTTTTCTGTTCCATTATCGTACCGTGGACCCTTATGATTTTAGGGTTTATCTTTTTGTTTTACTTAACCGTAACCATAACAATGAACGATCAGCACTATGTTAGACAAATGTTGTTGCTGAGGCCGTCAGCATCCGCCTCCACAACCCCTCTCTATGTGCTGAAAAACAATTTGTATGTGCCCTTAAGCTGCCCTGGCCCTCCCTTCACCCTACAACAGGCCCTAGACCAGATGAAAACTGAAAAATACACGAGAAAAACAATACACATCCGGTTTTGATTTAAGCCCGGATTGCAATTGTTTTCTTCCCCACTCTATCCCCTTTTCTCATTATTAATTTTTATCACTTCTCACTTATCTAATTGGTTCAACCTTTTGACTTGTCGTGATATATTGTGATGTAATGGCATGATGATGAATCACTGAAAACGAGCTTGTTCGCCAAACCGTGTTCTCCAAATGTTGTTTTCTTGCACGAGTAATTAGTCCCAGCATTTACTTCCAGACTTTTTATGTCTCCATTGATTGATAGACTTTGTTCGACCAGTGGTGATGGAGTGGTTCCGAACGTTTGCTTATCACTTCGGAGATCAGAGTTTCGAACCCCGCCACCGCCGGTCACTTTGGTGGTAGACAGTAATCCATTGTCGTTCAGCTCGTTATCACATGTGACCTACTGGGGCCTTATGTGATTCTCCACTCCATGTCTCAGTTTGGGGACTGGCTATCCCTAATTGTGCGGTGAACTTTTGAGGCTATGGCTATACTGCTTCCATTGCACTCATACACAACCAAAGATACCATTGATTCTCATCTTACCGTTGAGAAAAGTTTATGGTTCTATACCTCAGTACAGTGTTGTCTCTCTACTTCAGCTTCGTCCCAGGGATCAGGGTTCCTCAGGTATTCGTTCTTTCGTCTCTTTGTCGTGCAGTTTTGTAGGCATATATACTTTTCGTCGCGAAGTTCTGACTAATAGAAAATCCGCCTATGGTGGCATGGAAGCCCATATCACGGTAATTCATGCAGAATCAATGTAATAGATATAACGTCGATTGAACACAACGAATTCCCGAATTTTCTCAGTAATAGGGACATCAGTAAAGGTGTATTATGTGCCTTCTTTCTCTAAACAGATGAGGGTCCCGACGAGTGATCCATTTCAGTTCTGCCAATAAATAACCGCGCACATAAGTGATTTGGATTTCATTGTTATCCCTCAGCCCAGACCAATCAAAACATTCAGAACGATTGCGAAGCAGAGGCGAACAGTAGAGAAAGATTGTTGAAATAGAATGTGTATATGAAGTCCAGTGCGCGACTTACCGCGGTGCTTGATTATGTCTCGTAGTAGCATTTAAGAGCCGATTAATTGTAAACGGTTGTCAACCACTCACTTGTACGGAGAAGCTATCTGTTAATTTCACCTCTTGATGTACAAAGCATTTACTTGACTTGAGTTGAATATTGTCTATTTTCTAGGGTCATTGCTGTTCTCCTTTAGCAAATTATATATTCTACCGTTTCAAACCTGACCCGATTTTTTCAGTGATCCAATGAGCAACCTTTCCTACACACCGACGATATTGGAACAACACTGCTATGTATTGGCACCGGATGGGCACGTATTTCGGGAAACGTCGGACTGTATGAAAGATTTAACCTGGTTCACCCTACTGCCTTTGGTCTGTTCGGCCCTGATTACCACAGTGGATTTGTTGCTCGAGTCCACCCGGCGCTTGCTTGCCTGTTTACGTCAGGGTAACCTACACTCATTTGTTCGTGGCCCGTTAGTGTTTCGTGGCACAGCTACTTGTCCCGATTGCAGTGCGGACGAATTGCGCCCAGTACATGTATGGATTGATTCGAGTCAGCTGACCGGTTTGATCCCGGTGCGTGAGGAGCCCTCGCACAGCGCCACATGCGGTCGACCAAGGTCGCAAATCCCAAGTGATTGTCGGCATCAGACAATCGCCTCATTGTTGATTCAATTTCTACCGCACTTGAGAAGCACTCTGGAGCTGGAATTTGCCACAAAGCATTTTTCGGAGGACTCGGGGTCTGGTGGCGTGTCTGAGTTATTTGGACATGCACTTCCTTCGACTGGTGCTAGTGGGTACAGTGATGAGAACATCCTAAATGAATCACTTGTAGGTCCATCAGAGGTGAATATCAGCGGTGAGTTACGCTTTTTCCTCAGATCGGTGACATGGATGGTATAGCAACCTATTAAAAACAGAAACTATTTCTTGTTAGTTACATGTAGAACATTTATTCATCAATATCCTATCGCACTGTACAGAGGCGAGATGCCATGAAGAACATGAAAACATGGTGAATATGCAGTGTGGAAAAGAAGTTTCTTAGAGATTGAACACAGGCTTTCGCAACATAATCACCACTGACTACAATATCGAGCCATTTCTGACAAGGTTTCCAACCAAGCGTGCTGTAGACCTCGAGATCCTCAGCCAAGTGGAAGCGAGAGACCGACGGAGGCAAGTCGCGACGTCTAGATTTGGACCAACTGGTGCCACATTGTAGCTTGACCTCCTTGCTGCTTTTTCCAGCCAACTTCAGGCTCTGCAAGCAAAACACGACGAGGGAGTCGATAAGAAAGCAAATGCAGTACATGTCCTAGCCAACAAAGCCAGTGAAGCGATGCCAGCCTACTATCCTTTATCTTTTGTATTTACAACCTTTTATTATGTAATAATGGTATAATTTTTCAGGAAGGTTGTCGCGGCCAATTTGGGGGTGCTAACTGTGGAGTAACCGGCAGCGACGCGGAGACTCGAACCCGGGACAGAAGGGTTGCGAGCCCACTATGATGACCGTTTGACTACCGCTGGTCAGGAGTAGGAGGCACGTCCAATCCAAAAAACGCGTATACGAACTGTGAAGCTGCGGATTCAGCGTTGCCACGGAAGTCGCGAAATGTTTCTCAGACAACGGGGATCGAAGACAGACAACCGGTCGACATCGGCTGCTCAAACAGACCAGGTCTCGCAGCCGTACAAGCGCACAATGCATACAACAGCTTTGTACATTCCACCTTTAGTCTCATCTTCTCCATAGTTGATTAAGAGTACGGAACGCCACCGAGCCTTCGCAGTTCGGTTGATGACCTCATATCCAGCCTTCCCATCTGTTATAACGGTCAGCCCTGGTCTGATTACACCAGTCAGAAAGAGAACACGTGTCTCTGGACTAGAACAATGTAATGATATTTCTTTGCAGAGCAGTTTTACAAGGCAAGGAGATGCGCGTACAGATCGATAAAAAACATGATTGGATGACGCATGCGAAGGCGACATATAGACTGGCCAGTCACGTTCAGCCCGATGAGCGTGGACGGACATCAGGTGCGGCGTGAATCGGACTGGTTTGTGGTCTCACTACATCATAATTCTGTATACAGCTTCTCAGATAGACAAACTTCTCGATATTTTCTCACCTGTCACGACTGTGGATGAATGCGGGAATGGAACTGTGCCAATCTTGTGTTAGTACCTTACATTTTGAATGTGAAAAGGACATTCTGTAACGTCGTCGCAAACCATTGCAGTGTCGTTGACATGTTCTAAGTCTGGGAGTCGTTCACTAGGTGGGAGCTAAACGTCTCCGTTCCTTTAATTCTCTCTTGCCTCTCTTCATATGTCTTCGACTGCTAAATTAAACAGAAAAGATGAGAATGGGCACCCCCGACGTACGCCGCTTCCCACTGAGAAGGAATGCGACGATAATCCATATGCTATAACTCGGTCTGATGTTTGATGGTGTAGCTCTTTAATGATCTTGACATACTTTCTAGGCACTTCGATGAGACAATCGCAAAGGACCATCTTGTCAACGGAGCCGAGCACGGCCTGGATATCCAAGAACATAACCGCCGTTGATCTGGCGTGTGTGTGTTTGACGGAGCTTAAGTATCTGATGATTAGTGAGAATTTAGTCGACGCACCCGCGACTGAGGCGAAAACCTGATTGTTCTTCGCAGATCTGTTGGTCAGGAGGGGGGGGGGATAGAGTGTCTGAGAGGAGTAGCACCTCTGAGTTGATTGACTGTCGTGCCCCTTGGGACATCCTCCATCTCCTTGGTCTCCATCATTCACCCAGCTTTAACCTGTGGCTCCGCGAAGCTAAAGAATGCATCAGCTGTCACATCCCCATTAAACCGCTCGACAGACGGGCTAAACCAGGTTGAGGGTAACCGAGGCCTAAAAACCTCGGTGATATGGTGTTCGGCATGCAATGACAGATAAAGCTGAATGGGCGGACGAGATCTATTGATCCAACGGCTACAAAGGCGAACTGCCCAACCTACCTGACCTGGTATTCCACAAGAGGCGAATGAGTCGCACAACAGGTCACCGGCTTGTCTGTAACAACCCTGCTACCTTTCAGTCTACACTTGGGCATGCAAAGGCTAGAGATGCATCCTCGAACAAAAAGGCCGGATGAGGTACCGTCAACTTACTTCCTACTCCGGACTGGGCGATTGAGTAGTACAACAGTCCCGAGCGGTGCTAGGGACACCGCCTCGTACCATATTCCACTGAATCTCTATAAATAGTATTGTAAACATGCATTCTAATCATGCTACGGCCTCCGGCAAGCGACGCGCCTCGTGCTCCAACGATCAAGGTGTCAAGACAACAAGTTGAAATACTCAACTTGGAATGTACGGGCACTGTTAGACGTGGGCAGCCAAAGCCTCATAATGAGGACACTTCACAACTACAACATCGACATAGCCTGTCTCTCAGAAGTCCGCATACCTAACTCCGGCACTTGGTGCATAAAAGTTCCAGGAGAAGAGGCAAGTTATTGAATTTATCATAGCGGCCCGACAGTGGAAGGAAAACTGGATTGCGATCTCTACCAAACTTGCTTCCAACCACTACGTATGGTCAGCCATGTTCCGAGATATTCATGGAGCCTGCTGATCCTCTAGTAGGAGATAATCGCATACAATTAAGTAAGGTAAAGTAATCTGTTGGCGGAGGATTCTGGAGGCTAACAGCTTCGACGCAACTGATATCAGACTTATTCGGTGATGGTTGGGGCAAACATCACGAGCTCCCTTCTCGTAGATTAGGACATTAGCTGCGGAACGATTTCATGAACCCAGATCTCGAAGAAGACATTGATGAGCTCTTGGGTGAGTGACACACCATCACCCTTGAAACAGTCCTGAGAGAAATCGTCTAGACCAGGGGCTTTATGACGCTTGAGGAGCTGGAGTGCGTGGGCGATCTCCTCCTCAGTGGGCGATACAGTACGGACTGCCCATGGAACACCAACGGGTTCAAGAAAACCATTACGTGACAAAACTGGTGCTGAGGGCCAGTCAAACTGTTGCTTAGGGCGCTTCGCGCTCAGTTAGACGTGGAAGCTGTAAGATTGACCGGTTGTTTTTTTCGCAGGTTGCTTCACTAACACTGCTTCTTGTTAGCTGCAGATTGGATGAGCTGGAAACGCTTCCGAACTTTTGCTGCGGCAGTAGCTTGTTCCATGATTCGCGCGTTCGGACCACCAGAGCTCCAGGTCTCTACGTAGGCGTCTTGCTAGTTTTGTCCATAATTGAGTACGAATCCCGTGATTTTCGCTACCGGAATGGATATCCTGACGGCTATCTAGCAATGCAAGAGATCGCGGTGGGATCCAGTATGTAGCCGTTTGGCGTACAGCTAACCCCAAAATGTGACACTCGACACTTTCATGGCATTTTGGCTATGTTTCTAGCGGTCTAACACACTGACATGTGTGGCTGCCCAGATGCGATATTAACTCATTTTGATATTTCTCTCGGACCGGAGTCCGCCTGAATTGGTTCCCATCTATCCGTTGACAACAAACTTTCGCTTTGGCGTAACAATGCGCCATAAGCTCAGCGCACACTATTGCATGGCCAGAATCTAAGTATGTGCTCCAATACGACCTACACGACTCAACTGAGCCACACCAATGGGATCTTATGGCTATGTCATCTGTCTGTGTCCCAGACTGGATGACAGAAAGCGGTCGTCAAATCACTGTGCGTTTATGACTACGCCGGATACTCATGCTTGGAAGAATGGACGGTGGTCTGCACAAAATGTAGCAGAAGACTGCCGTTATTCGTACGTCGAGAGCCATCACCGCTTTGGCCTCCGGGCATCCGCTCTTCAGAATCTAGGTGACCAACTTGAGCTTCGGGGTCCCCAACCAGTACAACTATATCTCTGACTGATGCCTTTCGTAGAGAGTCATGTCGTTGACGGGATCCGGACTGCAGTCAGTGGGAACGTACTCTACGACAACGGTTCCTGTCACGCTCTCTTTTTACCTTGAATAAACCTTCCAAATGGATCGCACACAGTGTGCTATAAATAGGAATTCAGTACCACAAATCGAACTCTACTCTACCGCTCCGAGCGATTCCCGCACTCGCATGACCGAATGCAGAAACTGCGGCATCTCCGGATAAGAATAGGATGAATGCGCGTCCCAAAGGCTACTTGAGTCGAATTGTGCTGGTCAGGTCCCAGATACGAGTCTCAGACAAGCAATACGCATCTAAGGATAGAGTCTCGAGGGTGCCGCCAGAGCCAGTATTTGGTTTACTGGGCCGAGGTACTCAGCTTCCATGATCAATATCCTCGTCAATAACGGCCTGAAAAATAAAAATGTATTGTCAACTTCTGTGTGTAAAAAAACGTCTTATGGAAAGAGGTGGTGCGGTGAGAGCAGGGAAAATAGATCCAACCGCCTACACCTCAGTCATAGCTTGTGTAGAGTGGGTACGCAAGATAGTGAGAACGAATTTGCATACGTAACTTGTGATATTCATGTAGGGCGTGTGGACTGGAAACTATTCCACTGCCCAAACCGAAGCGCGGGGTTGTTATTGGAAGCTCCACCTCCAAAGCCTTTATCAGGGTATTCTATCAAGGTAGCGGGACGAAACCAGGAAATTGCGTTCACTGAAAGCCAGTGACCAAAGAGATGGTTCATACGCCGTTCGGAGTGGGTCCAGGGTCTCCAACGCTCTCTTATATTAAAAAACGGTGACCGGTAGCACGGCTCATACGCATCTTCCGAGAAACCTTGTCGGATACATTGAACACGACAAAGGGCAGTGGTCTCATTTTTAGTGGCGAGTCACACCCATCATGTCGTCCGCCGATTTATGT